AGAAAGTACAGCCATGGTCATCACAGTACCCAGCCCCAGTGTCCCAGTGCTCCCAGGGGTCCAGATTTTTGTCCTTGGGCCACCAGCATGGCAGCACAGTGTCACTGGGCTCCTGTCATCCTTGGGGCATGGCCATGGCTCTGCTCAGGACAACAGCTGGAACTGGCCACCTCCAGGCACTGTGACAGAAGCTCAGTGGGAGAAGGAGCCAGGGGTCCCTGAACCTCCACCTGTGCCACTTCTGGCAGATGCCATCCAAGGGGCTGGTGGCCTAGAGCAGAGGCAGATCCATGTGCCATAAGTCCCTCTGCATCTGTGCCAGAGAGCCACCAAGGCTGACTGGTACTGCAGGATGTGACTTGTGGGGACCAGACAGAGCTGCAGAGGGAGAGCAAGCTCTGTGAGATGGGAGGGAAGCTGCATGGGCGATGGAGACACCAGGTCAGGTTTGGAAACTATCATTATACAAAACTAAAGAGAAAAAGGTAATTTGTTGGAGGGGATCTTTGTCCCACTGGTAAATAAAGGCTCCTGAAGGAGCATCTGCAGGGATGGTGGGATACAGACACAGGCTCTGCTCAGGGACAGCACTGCCATAAGCTTACCTGTACCAGAACCACATGCAGCAGCTCCTGTTCACTTGCAATTTGAACAGGCAAGAGAGGAGTTGACAAAGGGAAAAGACCTACACTGGAAATTCACATGGGTTTTGTAGACTTCCTCTTAGGGCAAACTATGTTTACTTTTCTCCTTTTTTTTTTTTTTTTTTTTTTTGGAAGGGGGAAGGTGTTGTTGTTTCAGCTGGAACAGAATTATTGAATTATTTTTCTTCTTAGTAGCTGGTACTACTAAGTTCTTCTTAGTGCCACGTTTTGGATTTAAAAGGAAACTCGTGTTGATAACACACTGATGTTTTGGTTGTTGCTAAGTAGGCTCACACAAAGTCGAAGACTTTTCAGTGTCTCATGCTTTGCCAGTGAGGAAGAGCACAAAAAGCTGTGAGGGAGTACAGGAGGGCTGACCCAAACTGGGCCAAGGGATGTTCCACACCACAGAAAATCATACTCAGTATATAAACTGGGGGGAGCTGGTCAGAAGGTGTTAATTGCTGTTCAGGGATGGGCTGGGTGTTGGCCAGTATGTGGTGAGCAATTGAATTGTACATCACTCTATTTTTTTGTTTTATGTTTTCTTTTTCTAAAATTACAATTGTTATTATTATCATATTTTCCTTTGTTTCAATTATTAAACTATTCTTGTCTCAACCCACAAGTTGTGTTTTCTTTTCCTTTTTTTTTTCCTGAGTCCCTTGTGTTCTTTCTTTCCCTCCAGGGATGGGGAGGGGTTGAGCAAGCAGCTGCACAATACTTGGGTGCCATCTGTGGTTAAACAATTAGGGAAGGGGGAGAAAAGTTGACCTTGGCTTACTGTGAGAGTTAGAGAAGGCAACCTTTTGCACTGCCAGCCGCCTTGATAAGCCCCCAGGCTGAGCATAACTCTGTGGCACTTCACCTCTGGAGGTTTGATGGACATCCTCCTGCACGTACACCTTGTGGAGTCCCTCCCTGCCTTCTCCCATTTCCATCTCTTTCCCTTCTGTGGCTGCACAACACTTCAGCATGTGACTTGCTATGAGCACCAGGAAGGATTTAAACTTTGCAAACACCACTAATTATTTGACTTTTTCATATTGACAAAGCTATGCTTAATGTCACAGCCTGAAGTGGAGCACAGTCTCTGTGCATGGACATCCCTCCTCTGGCAATGGCTTTTACAGGAACAGGGCTCACACTCGAGACCAGATTCGTGGGTGAGCATGAGACTGCCATTGCATGTAGCTATGATGAGGATCAGGTACAGCCATTTTCTCTTGCACACCTCACTCTGGGAGCATCCTCCCTCTCACAGCCTTTCTCTGGACCAACCCACCTGCCCCTAGACACGCTCAGGCTGCCCCGGTGGCCGAGCTACCTCCCTGCTCAGGTGCCACGTGCTGCTGCCTGGCCAGGAGGTGTGGGTGCAGGTGAGCCAAGCTGTCACAGCAGCTCTCCTCCTTCCTCGTGAGTTACCACACCCCAGTATCTGTCAGCATGGCTGTGTCTGGTGACCAGCCTGAAGCAGTACGTGTGCACCCATGGGACTAAAATGAGCCACTCCCCAAGTCTGGCTGGATTTTTTTTTTGGGGCTTTGCTGAGTTTGGTCAGCACACAATTTATAAAGTCTTGTTTTCACCTTGACCAAATTGTTAGCTTTGGATAGGAACCATTTTAGAAGTGGACCTTGCTGGGCCTTTCTTGTAAGAAAAAAAAAAAGGCTGCTTGGGCTCCAAACAGTGATTTGATGCTCTTGTGTTGGGAATTTGCAAAGTCCCTGGGCATGGGATGCAAAGCAAAGCATAGGAAGCAAAGCAAGCCTTCATGCTTCCTGTCTTGGAAGCAGCTAGTACAGTCCCAAGGGAAGCTGTTCCCAGCCATGCAAATGTTCCCAATTTTGACCATGCACAGTACCAGGCATCTCCCTACACCCCAGTCCTTCCCAGACAACCAGCCTGGCCTTCCCAGCTGTGGCAGGGTCACACCTCCAGTGACTCTTCCCCAGCTGCTTCTTTGCTTTGCCAATTAGCCAAAGCAACTCACTTCATTCCCCAAGGTCCCAACAAAGGGACTAATGCTTGGCCAGGGACGACCTTCCCCATTCCCCTCAGCCCAGCACATAGGGAGGGCTGGCAAACTGCTCTGTACTTCTACTGCAGCTTCTCTCAAACTTCCAAACATCAGGAAGCCCTTCTGAGGAGCGTCATGGTGATCTCAATCCCAGGGTCACAGGCTGAGATAAGAAACCTGCTAAGCCCAGAAGAATAAAAGGCACATTTGGCTCCCTAATTTCACCAGTGTTGTGGTTTATCCTCAGCAGGCAACCAAACCCTGCACAGCCACTCGCCCACTCCCTTCTGGTGGGATGAGAGAGAGGACTGAAATGGTACAAGTGAGAAAACTCATGGATTGAGATAAACATGGTCTAAAGGGCAAAACAAACGCTGTGCACACGAGCAAAGCAAAACAAGGAATTCGTTTATCACTTTCCATGGGCTGAAAGGTGTTTAGCCATCTCCAATGGCAACATGGGAAGACAAACACCATCACTCAGAATGTTTCCCCTTCTTTCCCCTGCTTTGTACACTGAGCATGACATGGTATGGCCTGGAATATCCCTTGGGTCAGGAGGGGTCAGCTGTCCCAGCTGTGTCCCCTCCCAGCTCCTCCTGTACCCCCAGCCTTCTCCCTGGTGAGACACTGAGAGAAGCAGAAAAGGCCTTGACACTGTGTAAGCCGCACTCAGCAACAACAGAAACATCCCTTGTTATCAACACTGTTCTCAGCACAAAGCTGAAACACAGCCCTGCACTGGATACTGTGAAGAAAATTATCTCTACCCCAGCCAAAACCAGCACAATCAGTGAACAGTGGGTTTCTACATGCACTTGTGTTTGCAGTTTAGCATGAGTCTCAGTATTCCCTCAAGAGAAAATTAAACTACACACCAGAAATCAACACAGAGGCAAATCATTTGCAAAATCCCATCACTCAGTGCTGACCAGCCAAACCCTGGGACTTGTGCTACTAGCACAGGATTTTCCCACCATCCATTTTCATTCCCTCCCCCTCACCTCCAGCCTCTGAGTTGCTCTGAGTACACACCTGCTCAGGCAACCAGATTAGAGGACTAATCTTCCCCCTCCCAGGATATTTCTAACCCAGTTCATTTCCCTGACCTCATTCCCCAGGTGCTGGTATAAACAAGTGGACCTACACAATGTAGGTATCACTACTGTGGGATGTGCTTGAGGGATGTGGGATGTTTAGGATGTGATGTATTGCTCCAGAGAGAAATTCCTGCTATGCTGCAGCCTAAGTCTCACCTGAGAAATAGTCCTCAGCTATTAGAAAGCTGATAGAGCTGGAAGCAATGCTTGGTGTTCAGCATACCTGAACAGCTGCTTGTTGATTGTGTACCAGTCCTCTGAAGTGATAATTATCCTGAAGCCCTCACACTGTTTAGACATGTGGATGTGCCTATAAAGAGCTATTGGTTCACTCAGCCAAACCTTATTACCTATGTCTGGCAATATACAACAGTCATAACTAAACCCAAATATGAAAAAGTGAGCCTATATTAAATAATGTCTCCAAATGCAGATTTCCATGTTAAAACATTTAACTGAGTGAGGGAAAGAAGAATGGCATTACAGAAAAAAAAAGTCAGTGTAACATTTTAAAAGCAAAGGTAAAAAGACCCCTAGCAGCCTGCAATTTTGACATGGATCTTGTTGAAGTATACAGGCACTCAATAAGCATTTGCATTACCCCTACCCATTGTCTGGTGAGAATAAGCACCTTAATTTTATAGAAGGGCATCTGGGGGAGAGATTATAACCCCACCTCCAGTTACCTGAAAAGCTGCTTCCTACTAATTCTATGAATATCCTTAAAGATCATAAAATTGAACACAGGTCTCTGAAACCAAAGGTAACCATCCAAACCATTAAGTCATGTTTTCTTTAAGTTAGCCACACTGAAAGTCTGATCCCTGAATATCCTGATCACTGTAGTCAGTATAAATACTAAGAGGACTCCCTGACACAGCTCTCCTCCAAGCAACTAGTTATCTAGAGATTTTGCACCAAGCACTGGAGCAAGTGGGTTATTCCCAATAGCATTATTTGCAGCAATTAAAATCAGGACTGAAGTGCTCCATGTAGTACACAACTGCTGTGCAACATCCAGGCAGTCCACAAGGAATGTTGGGGTGTGAGAAGATTCTGCCAGAAATACTTACCATCTATCACCAGAGTCCAAAATCCATCAACAATCACCTTGACCCTACTTCCCAATAAGTGGAATGATGCCAATAGTGTACCTAGGCCATGGTAGGGGGTGTTGGCCCAAATACAGTTGCAGCCCCATATTGTTTTTGAAGATGAAGGAAAAATGACCACGTCTCAAGGCACTGAGCTGGATTTATTCATTTGACCATATCAGTATCAAACTAGAAATCACCTGTTTAAGATCATGTGTTAGAGAGGAGTAGCATTAAATAACAGACATGAAAAAAAGAGACTGTGCTTCAGAAAAAATTCGGTGTACAACATACACAGTATGCCATTTAACACAAATGCTTACAAAGAGTCATCCTAAGCATCAGAAAGAGTTTTATAAAAGTTTACGTTCTCATCCCATGGGATGTACAGAACTATGCAGTTTACATAGTTTTACTATCATCCAAAACATCATGTTTCAAATGTATGAGGCACAGCAAGAACAATGCAATTCCATTTCCATAGGAACATAAACACTGCTTGTCACTAGTGACACGCCTTCCAATCCATAACACTCAGAGCAATTATACATGTGTACAATTTTAAAGTATTAAAAAGCAAGAGTTTGGAGCCTGCCCACTGTTACCAATAGCGAGTAACACTTGATCTACCCTTGAAAACTATCTTAAATACCCTTGCAGTAGTTGTAACACAGGAAGGAGTTGGAGTCACTGTCATATTTTGTCAGGGCCAGCTGACAAATCCGAAAGCTAACTGACACTGCCAGTGAAAGCTTCACTCGACCCACAGAGCAGGGGACAGCCTCCTGTTTAGCTCCCTCTGCCCAGGGAAGATGCAAAGTTAAAACACATCTGTAAACAAGTGATAAACTGACTCCACAGACAGCTGATAGAAATTAGCTCAACTTAAGGGAGACCCTGATTTAAGAATGACTAGAGGTTGACCAAGTCTTAAAGACAGAACGAGACTGAACCAGTCTTTGACTGGTTAAATCAAGGACTTCTTTTTTTCTTTTTTGGAGTGAGGGGTGACAGAAAGGTTTTTACTAAGGACAGCTCAGAGAGACTGAATCTTACAGCCCACATGCTAAATTATATTATCTTTTCTCCTGACATTATTTGCAAGCATATATTTTAAGTTTTACAAAAGTGCAAGGCCCAGCACAGGAGGATATCCTGGATTAAGACATTCCCAGCAGCAGTATTCTTTTCACCACCTTCTTGTTGGTCAACCAGCAGACACACAAACATCACTGCTTGGGATCAGCTTATCAGAGCCCCTAAGGGTTTAGCTTAATCATCTGTGCAATTAAACACTATTCACATTTGACAGCCTATAATGGCAATAATTTTATGTACAAATTGGAAAATCAAGTCTTAAAATCAAATTTTAAGAGGTAGAGGTCCATTTCTGACCCATGATCATAAAATGTTACTGAGTCAGTCATATTCTAAGGCTGGTGGTCCCCTAACAATATTGAAGTAACCAGCTAGAGCTCCAAGGTCAATGTAGAGTGATCTTTGTCTCTTTAGCAGGTCTGACTCTTCCATGCTCCCATTACACAATGAGGAATCTAAAAAGAAAATAGAGAAACCGTGTCATTACTGCACAAATAGTTGTACCAGTTCATTTTCATGTTTATAGGTATTATTGGAATATTTGGCCTATTATTTGATCATATTAATCTGTGGTTTAGAAAATTTTTAAGTACAACGTAAGTCAAACCTCAAATAAAATAAAATCTAACAAACCAATCCACAACTCTAGGACAAAGAGAGGGAAAGAGTTTGCAACTGAAAACAGCAAGTGTGTTCAACTACTTAAGAAAGTCTCCATCAGCTGGAATAGCTAGGAAGACCTTTCTCATCCTCTGACCTATAGTGCTAAAGGAGAGTTTGATGCAAGAAAAAAACCTGCTAAGTTTCTGCCATCTGAGAATTCTGTTTCCTCATAGAGAAATTTTCATCTAAACACATGACACATCTTTGTCTGGGTGTGACAATAGAGAACGAATATAGGACCATCAGTTTCAGATTTCTTATTCCTTTTAAATCAAAGTCTAAAAAGACAGATCAGGTTTGCAATGGCAGAATTCCCCTGAATACTTGTATAATGAGTGTCTTGGAATCCCAAGCACCTGTAATAAAGTCCAAGTTTAATGGTCAAATAGTCTTTTCAAAAAAATTGATTCAGACGGTCTGAGCTGGTCAAAGGATTAGGCACCCCCAAGGCAAAATCCAGAAGGTACAATGCCATTCCAAATTCAAAAACTGTGACTGATTTCTTCAGTGAATTTGTTGCAACAATCATGTATTACAGTGCCCAAAACTTTGCACAGGTATCTTTGGAAATATTTATTCCAATTAAATAAACCACTTGTCTGGGAAGAGTCTTTCAATGCCTTTTGTCAGAGCCCTCCTAATGTATTCGGTAAATTGAAGAAAAGCATTTTGAAGCCTGTTGGCAGGTTGTTGGCACTAAATCTTGCTTGGGCTTGAAAGGGCTGTTTCCTACCTAGTTCATGTATTATCCTTCATTAGCACTTACTAATGCACAAGGGCAACAGCATTCTATCCCACAGTCATTCTTGGTTTTAAAACAAAAGCCTTGTACTGCTGACCCTCAGCAACATTAGTTATGGTTTTGTGTGTGCGTTTTTCCTTAAAAAGGCAAAACGTGTTGGATTTGCTGGTGGTTGTTGCACTTTGTAAATGTTTACAAAGCAAGAGTCTATAAAGCATCTCTAGTACAGTGGCAAATTGAGTCAATTTGGGACAAAAATCTGTACTTCATGAAGTGCCTTGAATGATTGCCATGGCTTTCCCAACAGCCAGTCCTTCCGGAGCCTCGAAGAATTCAGTCTAAGTTCCTCCCCACTGAAGTCAATGGGCGTTTTACAGATCACTTAATGACCTCGGGGTCTGATCTCATCTGATTGGGATTTTCACCGGTCACTTTCCAGATGTGTTTTGAGTTTCGTTGGTTCCTTACCACTCATTCAAACCAAGATTTGACACAAAGTAGTCTACAAAGTACGAGGCAAGTGAGCCTGATTCCAGTACCTGTAATATTTTCTGGCAGCTGCAGATCCTTCCTGGCGAGCAGTCTTTTCCTTTCAAACAACGCCGAGTCCAGGCTCTGGCACCGCGGCTGCTCTTCGGGGGGCGGGTGTAAGGCTTCGTGTTTCAGTAAGTCTGCTGCAGACAGCCTGTGATTAGGATTCCTGTCCAGAGCTGCTTCTAGCAATTCTCTCATGGAAGTGCTGCAGTCCTCAGCAATATCCTCTAAGGGAGGAGCTTGCTTGTGTATCTGTTGGAATGAAAAAAGACCATGGAAACAGTTATTCCAAAAACAGTGGAAGAGGAAATCACAGATAACCACATGAGTGGTCTGGGAATTCCCCAGTTAGGACTCATCACCTTCCTAAGTAGGGCTGATCAACTAGAACAGAACGTGCAACTACACAAACTCACTTCATAAAAATCAGACTTTATAATAAATTTTAAAACTCAAAGAAACTTCAAGTAAGCCTAAAATCCAGTGCAATGCAAATTCACCAAATTTCTGTACCACACTGGAAGAATCAGAGAATCAAATCTGCCAGGCTCCAGTTTTTATCTGCAATTTCTAAGGAAAACAGAAAAGTAGAAGACAGATGGGCTTGTTTCAATCAAGTCTCACACTGATCTAACCTTGTCCTTTCAGTAAACCTAAGGTTTGCAAATTGAAACACAAATCACAGAGACAACTCCAGCTCAGTCTCTGTCTTCCCCTAAATCATCAAAACCCACTTCTTTCCTCCCTCCCCTGAAGCAAAAAGGATGATATAATCTCTCTGACAAATATTTTGATAGTTTTTATATGACTAGAGCTTTCCCAACAAGAGTACAGGAAACCCTCCAACTGACACTGAGCTGGCTTTGCTCAGGACACTTACAATATAGAGGTAGGAGGGATATGCAGAACGAGGGTATCTGTTCACCCAGGGCGGGATGCCTGTTTGCATATGAATGATAGTAGCTCCCATGCTGTAGATGTCTGCTTTTGTTGTGTGGCCTCTGCAAAGGATAACTTCAGGGCTCATGTAAATCTGTGAAAAATAGTTAAAAAAAAAAAAAAAAGATTACTCAACAGGGGAAAACATCAACCAAAGATGACTTAATGATATTTTGTGATCCTGGAAACCCCCCTCGGAAGGGATGCATCCCACTAGTACCTGCAAGCACCATTTGGGAAACAAGATTGATCTGTTCAGCATGTGAATACAGCCAAAGAGACAGTACCTGGACAAACTCATACTCCTCCTCAGATAGGCCACAGGCCAGTGGTCATGGGCCTTAGCTGAGCTGCGAGAGGCTGAGGTTCAAGCCATGGCTCTGCTTTGCTCAGATGAGTAGCAGAAGCCTCATTCCTCCACAGCAAAAGGAGGTTCCTGAATTGCCAGTTTGTTTTGTGGGGCACTGCTGGGACTGCTCCATTCTGCTTCAACAATGGCTGGGCATGAGCTAAAGAGAGAGGGTGAACTGTACTGACAGCCACCAGATGGGAGTAGGAGTCCACTCCTCAGATACCTGTTACACAGAATACTACACTACCCTTCTGAGTAGAGCTGACAGATATATACCCTCCTGTCTTTACTCTTCTTACCTCTCCTCCTTATCCAGTAACCTGCATGGTGGAGCATTATCTTGAGAAATGGGATGATGAGGAACAAGCCAGATCTAGGCAATGCATAAATTAAAAGTTAGGTGCCCTTTGCACCAGATTACCCCCAAAGCAGCTATGAAGAAAAGAATCCCTCTTCTAACCTTTATCCAAAGCAAAAATTCTAATCTTTCTCGACACAAACCAAATAGTTTTGATCCAAACATTTCACTGAAACATTTGAATTTGCCAAGTCTGAAGAAAGATCTTGGAAGCTCCTGCCAGCAAAGGCAGCTCAGAGTGCAGCTGAGGAGAACCAGACAGGCAGGATGCAGGAGGCACACCCTGCACAGCTCTGCCACTGGCCCGGGGAGCAGGTTACAACACCACATGGGCACAGCCCACAGCACACCAGGCTAGCAAGCTACCATATTTCTGCTTCTGGTTTCTACTTTTCCCTTGCCCAATTTCCCTCTAAAGGATTCAAACTAACTTTAATTAGTTCAAGTCATCCTAACACAAAGAATCACGTTAAAAGCCATTAACTGACACAAGGGCAGGAAGCTAAGTCATCACCACATGGCTGACTGCTTATTACCACAGACTGAGAAGGGCTGTAGGACTCACACAGATTCCAAGGAATATTTCCCAGTAAATTACGTTTCATATCTGCAAATAGAACTTGTGATTGGAAGTGTGTGCAAAGCCTCAGCAGGTGTCTGCAGCTGCTACTGACTTATCCACTGCATTCCTCAGGGCTAAAAGAAAATCAGTGCATCTGCACCCTCCACTTTAAGTCTCATAAGGAGAAAAGAACAGAACTTCTAATTCTATAAAAAGAAGTCTTTGGCAAATACAATGTAACTTGAGTGAAATCTACATAAGCAAAAAGCAGCTGCCTTCAAAAGAATGCTGGCACAAGATCCTACCTGCAGTTAAGGTGAGAAAATGGTCAAGATGCACCTTGACTGTACAGGGACAAAAATCAAAAATGAGCTCCAAAGCTCAGATTTCAGACTGGTCTAAGAGTCTGTTGTCACCAAAGCAAACAGCTCAAGCCATGGATAACTTCCCATTCTCATTCCTTCCAACTGGTGGGGGTACTTGCCTGCCAGTCAAACCTGTGTCACAGCCCAGCTAAAAACCAGTCCTTTCTTCATGCTATGCTAGTTTTAGTTTAGCATTCCTGAAAATGAATCATACCTTCCACACTCAATAAACTTTAGCAGACAACTTTTTACCCTCAAATGGTTGTAACTGAAGCTTATATATTTTAACAAAGTGACAGAAGCCTAACAGAAAGCGTAGCAACTGCCTAGAAAAAGTATTTCCTGTAGACAGTTTCACAACAACCACAGTTTAATGTTCTGCATGACTTGTACACAAAAGCAGAAACACCAGTCTTTTTTTCATACTGCACCATATAAACAAAATTTAAGTATCTTTCAATCCTGTTGCTCAGAATTGTAACAACTCATTTTTATAAACACAAAGAAGATTCACTACAATGATACTTTCTGTGCTATAGAAGTGAATTAATATCCTAACTCTCAGAGAACATGCACAGGACAAAGGTTACTCCACCTGCCACTTCCCTCAAGGACACAAGTCCCTGCCAATACCAGATGTAAGAGAAACCAGCCAGCTCATAGGCACAATGCTGTGTGGCAGTGACAGAGCCCCAACCAGGGGTTGCACAATTACATGCAGGAACAACAGGACAACTGCACTACTTCTTAAGGCTGTATAATACAGGGTGCAAAACTCAGGAAGACTTAAAAAAACTTAAAGAGTTAAGATCTTGCTTTGAAAAAAAAAAAAAAAAACAAACAAGAAAGCCAGACTACAGAGGCCATTTGTGGGTGACAGGATTAGGCACTATGGAGAGGAAGATGCCTAGAACAAAGACTGTGAGCAGAAAAGTCTATAGAAGCATCAGGAACATTAGCCTGTAAATCTTCCACTGGTATGTGAAAATCTCCTTTCCCAGTGCAGTCTCTCCAACCTCACTTCTGATTGCAATGCTGCAGCAGGATTGCTGCTCCCCTGAGACAGCAAACACCAAACATGGCCATATTTCAGGGTTGGGGGAATTATCAACTTTCTGAGGACAGGACTGCAGGTGTTAAAGTGTGTGGAATCATTTTCCTCCTATTAAATGAAGAACTAAATGTTTTTCACTTAGCAAAGTGAAAACACTGAAGTGTAAGTGTTTTCACTTTTCATTTGTTCTTATTAACACTTTTCACTGGTTCTCACTAACACAACCTTGGTCTGTCCTCCAAGACCCAGAAATGGATCCTCACCAGTCTGATCCACAATCATGGAAATTTCCTGTTTACACACATCTCCATCATTGGGAAATACCCTACCAACTCATACCCACCACTGTTCTTATTCTCATTTACAGCACACAAAACCCCCTTGAACAAGCAAAAAACCCCAAACCAAAGTAAAAACCCCACAAAGCTCATACATGAAGTGCCAAAAAGCATGCTGCTTCCAGTTCAGCAACCATTTTAAGCTCTTAACTCCCCTGACTAGAAAGACACTGAAAACAAATATTCAAGTGTTTTCTCAATGATCTTGAAAAAAATAAACAAACCTGACCTTCTGTGAAATCCTGGTTTATCCTACCCTGCTAAAAAGTGAAATGCTTCTTGTCAGTTACACAAGGATCTCCTCTTTACACATGTGGAAGACTATTAAAAGGGTAAGTGCCAATATTTCAGCTAAAGTATTTCCTGTAAACAACCTCCTCCAGCAACAGAGAGCACAGATGCCACATCTGCAGCAGCTATCCAAGCTAATTGTTGCTGCTTGGTTGTTTGCTAAAACTCCAGCCCTGCAAACACCTCGGCAGGAATGCAGCCCAAGTAGCGTGCAGAATCTTAAAGCCACTGAGAACATTTAAAAGAACCCCACCTCCATCACAGTAATGTCTAAGCAATTTTACCAGATAATCATGAACTGTGCCATGCACAACCTCTGAAGAACCAAAGGGTTACGTGCAGATGGAGAACAGAGCTTAGAAGGGCTAAGGGATGAAACCCAGACATCAGTAATTTCTGTGGTTTTGAAGGAGGAATCAAAGTACAGTGTTGAGCAGGTCACCCCAGTCCATAGCATGTATCTCAAAAGAAATCTTTGCTAAAGCAAAGAACAAATTCCTGTTTGAAGTGTCTCTGACCAGCAGCTGAAACACTGCAAACAACCCTCCTCAGAGTACTGTTTGACTTCAGTGAATAATTGCTAACAAATGGGACTGCAGAGAAAGTGACACAGCTTTCAAAGCATTCCATTCAGCAAGTTGAAAATAAAAATATAATTGAGACTCTATTTATGTTTGTAACTTTTTAATAGGGTTTATAGTAACTATTTTACCCATGCTTCTAACCCTCCAGCCTCAAATTTGAGCCTAAACAGCACAACCATAGGACTAATGTAATATAAGGACTTTTCTCCCTTCAGCTTCTTACCTCTGTTCCTCTAAGGTCTTTGGGATAGTAAATGTCTTCAGTCATTTGAACACTTAGGCCAAAATCCACCAAAACAGCCTTAGTTGACATAAAGACAATGTTGCTTGCTAAAAGAAAAAAAATTACATAATTTAAGTGTCTGGCACATTTGGTATTTATTTTACAACACTCCTGTTTTATTCAGATGCTAGCCTGAAAAGGGAGAGAGATTAGCACAACCATTCTCTACAGCCATTATCCTTCTAGCCAAAATAGGTCTGGTAATGATTTGGTTCAATTTGAAATCATATCTTAAAAATCAAACTGGACTGGTTTATGCAAAAGAATCAATGTTTGGTCACTTTCGTAGCTTAAAATTAAAAAAAAAAAGCAGCAAAATATAAAAAGGCTGAGGGTAGGGGAGGAAGGTAGAAATCTGGCAGACACCATAGCACAGTGCTCTGAAGATGTTTAATGGTCTCCAAGGTGGAGATCATGCTGTGCACCTCTGGCTATAAACAGCACAACTGTTGCTCACCAAGAGGCTTTTCTAGAGCAACAATTTAAGTGAAGAGAGAAGCAGAGAGTAACCAGGGCCCCTCCACAGCAGCCACACCAGTCACCTGCACTGGTCCATGAGGGCAGCTCAGCATGACAACAGAGGACAGACAATGGCTATAAAAGTAATATAACACTGAACATTTCAAACTCCCTCTGAACTGCAGCAGAATCTAGGAGCTTAATTTACTTTCCTTCACAAAACTCTGCCTAAGGCACAATTTTGTACTCAGAGGCTTTGTTTGCAGCTGTATTTCTGATCAAATATTTAAGAATGTAGGGCTCAGTGTGAGCTTTGAGAAATCCTTGTTTGCTGTTTCAGAAGATGTGGTAAAATGAAGTCTCCAAGTTACCCAACAGAAACACATTTTTCTTACAGGAAACTGGGCTATTTTCCATCTTGACAGTGCCTACCATGACCACCCAGTGTGAGGACAGCCTTGATTTCAGCAGTACTGATTCCTGAAGCAATGCTTCACACCCCTGCCTCCTTACCAGTGCTATAGACTATGTAAAACTGTAATTTTAGGAATAACTTTGAAGATATGCATTTTAAACAGCCCATAATAGATGGTGCAAAGGGCCAGACTGCCACAGTGCAGCAGGATCTGCTGCCTGCCTGGGACCATACCCAGCCTCAGCTGCAGCTGATTTTGGACTGAAGCTCCCCCTACCAAACAGCCTGATGGTTTAACTGCTCTCCAACCAAGGGTTAAAATGAGTGGGAGCACTGAACACCTCCCAAGAACCAGAATGTCTTCCTCCCCTTCCTTTCTCAGGGCATTTTTTCCTCTCAATAAAATCCTCATCTTCCGTACCAGTAGAACAGACTCAATTGCAGCTCAAAAACAACAGAGTGAGGAAGAAATTGGAGGTTTCGGGAAACAGTCTTTTCTATTGATTCCACCTAGGGAGGGAAAACACACACTGCTCCCTGCATGGAGGCTGCTTTGCCAGGCAGTGGGCATGGCTCCACCTCAGCCTGGACTACCCAGCTCACCCCTGGCACCAAACGGGCAGGAACATGCCCAGGGCTCACCCTGGGCACCTGTGGGCAACCACATCTGCCCCAGGCAACCTCTGCCTCATCATCTGCCCTGCATCCACCAGCACAGGAAAAGGCTGGAAAAAGTGAAACACGCTCATATCCATCACATTCACAATGGGCTGGTTCTCCTACTCACTACCTAGACATACTAGGCTTTGGGCTGGTTTGGTTTTTAGATCATTTAATTAATGTCTTTGTTACTACCAATTAAAATAAACCCATAGGAAAGACTCTTACTGCAAATGAGAAAGAAAAACTAAGGGAAAAAATAAGCACTTCTGTAGCTGTCAGAATCTCAAAGGCTTGCATCTAAAGTACTGACACATACTAAATTTAAAAAACCCAAAAACACAAAATGGAGAAAAATTTTGCAATTCCTAATAATCATCTTCTGTGAACTATTGCAATGCTTCAGTCTGAATATTTCTACTTCAAACCTTCAAGTTTAGCTAAATAAACTCACAAAGATGCATCCATCTGCAGGCCGAGGTGGTACTAGGAGCAACAGCATTTAATACTAATTTAAATGCAACATATCAAAATTGAACTTTAAAGCAATTTAATACTAGTGTATTTAATTTGGACTTAACAGCAATATATTTGATTATTTATACATGTTAATATCCAGAGTTTTTTAAAAGCAAACATATATAAAAATTTGTTGTACTTGTTGAAAGAAAGAAACCAGCACAAATTACGTATTTACTTCCAAAGTGTCTCAAACTGAGGAACAGCTGTGTAGAAATGTAAACCCTAAAAGAAGGTGTGAATTGAAGGTGAGCATGGAAACATTCAGGATGAATTTATATTGAAAGTAGGAAACTTCTGGCTGAACACAGACTGAAAACTTTACCCTTTAGGTTTTTGTTTAAATTGAGTTGCTCAGATATGGCATAGAATCTATGACTTTCTAATTATCCTCTCTGCTGGAGTGAATTAATAAATACTATAAGTAACTATTGCCTCTAGAACCTGACCTTGCCATTTGTTAAGCATCACCCATCCCTCGCCCTCAGAGATGTAAGGCTACATGTCCCAGCTCAGTCCCAGGGACTCCACAAGGGCCCCAGCCCAGCCAAGACCAGGAAGAACCCCATGGAATCACACAGACATACGTTTGATATCATGGTGGATAATCCTCTTCGAGTGGAGAAAGTCAAGTCCTTTCAGAATATGCTTTGTCACCCAAATTATTTCAAACTCTCTCATAGGACCACAGCTCTCCAGCTTTTCCATGACAGATCCTCCCTCTCCAGCTTCCATGAAGAGATGGATTGTCTCATCCCACAAAATAGCGCCGTATAATTCAGCAATGTTTTCATGACGGAAACATGCCTGTATTTCAACATCTGATGGTTTGAACTGTTCCACTGGGACCTAGGACATTGAAACAAAACCAGTTATCCACAACAAAAACAAGTTATCCATGTGGACACTAATTATCCTATAGATTAACAGAAAAGAAGGAAGTATAGCACTTGCATCTGCTTTTAAAATACTAAGCTTTCCTTTGCTCCTGTAACTTTTCTTCCTTTGCAGCTGAGAGAGTTCCTGTTAAAAGTTGAGGGATATTTTGGAATCATGCCCAAATAAAAAGAGCAATCTTCCAGAAAAAGCAATGTAGCAAGAGTTATTCCCGTCAAAATCCAGTGATTACGCAAAAGCTTTATGCAAACTTCCTGGTGAAGGAGATAAAATTCCCACTGCTTTTTCCATTAGCTTTGTGCACTCATCTGCACTACCAGAACTACACACCCACCTGACAGGTGGACGAGTGCTTGCAGTGCTCAGGTCCATTACTGACCTCAATTCAGTCCTTATCAGCACTGGTTTATGGCTTGCAAGAAATGAAAACTGCTTTGAAGGGAGCGCCAGCAGCATGATATTTCTTTAAAAAGTTCTGATGGCAGATTGCTGGGACAATAAAAGCAGTGTTTGCTTACAGACAGAAAAGCTACTACTGCTCTGTTTAGTTTTCTTCCCTTGGACTTGTGTCTGTGAACCAAATAAGAGGCTTGTCTATTCAATGAGAAATACTGTTTTTATTTTCAGAAACATTAGGATACTTAATGCTGCAGTGGATTATGCAGGAGCAGCTAACAGTCTGTCCCCATATAGACACACTGGCTGCAGGGGAAGGACATAGAGCTGCCTGCCCAACTCTTTCACACACAAAATCAATACAGGTACTTATTCCTGAGCTGGGGGATATAGAGCAATGTCTCAACTGAGCTTTTACTGGCCCTCAATATTTACTGCTCAATTCAAAATTGTATGTTAGAAGGCATAGCTGAAAGAAAATGTTGGCTTGCAGTTCTCAGTAGTCTTTTTGAGGCATCTCACAACCTTAACTCCGTCAGTGCCCAAAACAGTAAGAGTTGAACATACTGAGTTCTAAGTGACTTCAATGGCACTGGAGTAAAGAAAACTGAAGTCTGAGCATCTCAGTTAAAGGACAAGAGCCTAAAACTTCTGTAGCAGCAGGATTTTGCTACCACCTTCAGCATGAGATATTCACATTGATATTTTACCATAGTGGGTACAGTAGAACAAGTAGAAAATCTACTCTGCAGCACAGCCCATGTGCCAGTTACACAGACTTCTGGACACATTCAAAATGCTGAAAGATTTGAAAATATACTGTAAGTAGTATGTCATACAATATTTGCTCAGAGATAAAACTATTAAACTAACATACCAATTTGCATGCCATTCGTTTCTTGGTTTCTCTGTCTTGGGCTAAGTACACCTTCCCAAAAGCTCCCCGAGGAATAAAATCAGAACCAATGTTCCTGTAAGTCAACTTCCATGGAAACAGGAGTACGTCCGAATCAATTTGATAGCGCCCGTTCTTGGGTGTGATCTGTGGAGTTAAATAAATAATAAAAAAAACACAGTGAAGTAAAAATTACTTTAAATTAATGAACTTTATACATATAGTAGACAAAAAAGATACATCACTTATGTGTATGATGCACATGATCTGCTTAGCAGTCTTTATTTAGTAACACCAAATGGGAACAGCATGTGAGGTGTGGCATTCATTCACAGCCCAGGCATCCACGTTTCTCTCCAGTGACTAACTTATGAAGTGTAAGTTGCAATTAATTGTCTTGAAACAACAACAACAGCAGCTGGGTTAATGAAATTACCCACCTCTTGTTATTAGATTTACCTGCACATGTTTGTCCTTCCTGTAATCTGTTAACTTGTTATGCCACATACCTGTTACTCACAGGTTATCTTATACAACAATGTGAGCAAGAGTTTCAGCATTTCCTAATATCACAATGTACTCCCAGGAGTCTAGTTTTCCATCTTATATTGGAGTTTCTGCTGCTTAGTAAAAGGTCAAAGAAGTCTGCCTCGATTTTACCAGCCACTTTCCTATAGTTTTATATCATAGTTTAAAAAAGAAGAATGGGAGTAACATTGCCTCCTCTAGGTGGATAATGTTGGGAGCTTTGGTTCTTCTGTATCACCAACTAGGCAAGGAGGGGATTCAGGGCACCTGTGAGTATCTTGCTCTAAATCTTTCTCCCAAAGAGCTTCCTCCCTCTGCATGTGACAGAGAGAGACTAAACGCCTAACTACAGCCATGTGAGTACTGCTTGGTTTCTGATGTTGCTTCTTCAGTCTCTCAGCTACAAAATTAATAATATTTCCTATGAATATGCCTCTAATTATTTCAGCCATTATCTGAAATAGCATTAATCTCCTTACTGCTACTTTATCAAGATTCTTGAAGAGATGTAAAATCACTTCAAAGATATTTATCATTTCATGTCTGTCACAGGGCCTCAAATACGCAGATCTTCAGCTACCCTTTTTAAGATAACAGCATATGAGGAAGATTATTTGGTTTGGATTTCTATTTAAGATATAACATATAATCTTTCATCCTTAATCTACCTTCATGCTTTTCAATTAGGAAAGTACTTTCTTGACTACTAAAATTGTCATTTGTGATTTGTACCTACTCGAAATAAATTAATTCTTCTAAGTTCCTAAATCTGGGGAGGATAAGTTCTTAACCTTTGGCCAAGGAGGCAGAAGGGGCTGTCCTTTAATAAAAGGTATTCTTCTTAGGATAAAGAGAACAAGCCTTCCCTCTACTTATTAGAGTTAGGGGAAAGCAATCTGTACATGTCTATCAATCTGTACATCTTGCTTGCCTACTTCAGCATTTCAAACGGTTGAGACTAATCCGTATGGGTTACACCTTATCCTGGAAAGGAAGAGACGCTGAGCAGAGTTCATTTGCAGAGCAAGACAGTGATGATCACCACACTATTCATGTTTTCAGGCGGCTTCTAGGACTAGTTCCTAGCCTGACCATCTGAAAATCTGTCTGTGGCTGCAATGCTTCTTTCAGTTCAGTTTTAACTAAAAGAAATCCAGCTTGCACACTTCAAGACCATTTGTGAGGCAAGCCACAGTGCAACCAGTGAGAGTCACCAGGCAATCAGAAACAATCCTGACCCTAACCAAAATGCTGTAGATATTTACAGGGCAATGCCCCTGCTGAAATGCATGCACAGGTAATGCCCTGCCTCCAACCTTCAGTTGCATAATGGGATCACGTGCACCTAATAGTACTTGGTTCATACCAACTGTATGCATCTGTAGAAACAATATGCAAGCAAAACAACCACGAGTATGCAGAACAGTGTCTACCCTAAGCATAGGAAACATTAAATATTACTAAGTGTCATTTCAATGTTACAGAGTTGAAAAGTGATTGTTTTGCAATACCGCAATACTCCCTCCAAATCTGAATAAAGCAATACCCTGTGTTACTCAGGTTACTGGGTATAATACTCAGGCATTTCGCACCTGAGTAAGCCTCAAGCAACCAGTGTTCACATATAAAATATATTATATACAGGATTTTTAAGATGATAGATGTAGAGCATCTTAAGAAAACACAGCAGCAACACCAACATACATTAATAGAATTCCATTACAACACCGATTGTTTCCAGAGCAACTGATCTCAAACAAAAGTTTAATGACACTAATATTCAGAGATGCTTGTAGAACAAAAGTTTTTAGGGAAAAAAATAACATCTCAATACAACATATCTGTATACTTGAATTTAGCAGTGTGAGATATTACATAATATTGTAACTCTTAAAATCACACTTGATAGTATGTGCTTTTTCTCCTTATATTACTACCATTGACATTTTTTGCAGATAGAGCAAATTTAGGAACTATATTTTTAGATCCTAGATCTTTATTTTTGGGAGTTTGAATAATGAATGTTTTACTGCATGAACACAAGGCACTGGAAGCCTCTTACTTCTCCCAGATCTGTAAACCATCATAGTTCATAGAATCATAGATAGGCTTTGGTTGGAAGGGGTCTCAAAGATCATCTAATTGCAATCCCCCCACTATGGGAAGGGATGTCACCCACTAGGTCAGGTTGCTCAGGGCCCCACCCAACCTGGCCTTGAACACTTTCAGAGATGGAGGCATCCACAGTTTCTCTGTACAGTCTATTCCAGAGCCTTACCACCCTCAGAGTAAAGAAATATGTACACTTTTAGTTTAAAATCATCCCTCTTTGTCCTATCACTACACACCTTTCTAAAAAGCTACTCTGCCTCTTTTTTATACAAGTTGTGGATTTTATAAGCCCCATTTAAGTACTGAAAAGACAAAGTGAGTTGTAGATTTTTCTTTTTGACTGCTTGTCTCAAGTTTGTATTCATTACTGGGAAATGTTTTCTAACCTCCAGGGATACTAGGAGATAACAGAGTGGATCCTTCTGAACAACAGACCTGTCTCCATAGCTGCCTGAGGCTGCAGGGGCTAGACTTGATAGGCTGAGAGACCCCTTCCAGCCCCAGGGTTGCACAGGAAACCACAGCCTGTTACTCCTGCAACTGATCTTTATTTAGAATCATTAAAAACTTCTAATTCCTCCAGTCTTTGAAATGCCAAGTAAAAGGAAAACAGACGTACATACCATATTCAAGAGAATTCCAGATTCCTGTTGTGTGCATCCTTTAAATTGTTTTGCAGTGTTAGACACCTGATTTGCAAAGGCAAGCAGGTCTTCCACAGTCCCATATTTGACAGAGGACATCAAAGAGACCTCCCTTTCACAAAACAGTAATGATTCTGCACGCTCATCGTTTTGATTTGCCTCTTCACACATTGTAATTAAGCTGTCTTCATAGACTGCAATGTCTTCACCTGGGTAATGGTTTTCCATGATGGCTATCACCTCAGACATATTTAGATCAGCTAGCAACAAGTCAATCTCCTCTTTGCTATCACTATCCGTGCTCATATACTCCATTACTGTCCACTTTGCAAAAATCACTCCTGGAAAAAAAGGAAACAAACTTGAAAACACTTTTCACCTAAATTTGTTTTAGTAAAGTAAGAATGAAAAGGAGCTATCAGACTGATCAGCAGCTCATCATAATACAGATTTTAAATTAATAACTTGTCTTATGAAGAAAATAATAATTAGGATCCCCGGTGAAGACAAAATGGAGAAATATTTGCTAGTGAAATTCATTTAGAAGTTACTAGTTAACCTCCTCTGCCATTCATTCTTGGAATTTATTATGATAAAGCTTTCCCTAAGAGGAACAGGTACAGTAAGAATACACCACTGTGATAGAAATGCAAAAATGAAGGAGCACCCTCAATACAAACAAAGGAATTCATTGTTTGGAAAAGAATGATAAAGGGAGATATTAACATCCTCAATTAGTTTATGTCTAAGTTTGTATCGACAAATTATGGGATGTATCCAGGAAGTAGAAAAGGTCACAAAGCAAGGTCATTCCACTAGTAATAGGCATCTGTAGCATTGTACAAAGCACAACTGTCACCACCTGAGATACAAAATCCGTATTTTTGCAAATAACTGGTCAGAACTAGACTTGAATAGAAATTTTCACCCTGACTTTCAGAAGAAAGTCAGAAACTGAGCTATCATAAAAGCAATGAGCTTTTGAAGTGGTTTCCAGGAGTTTGTTCTGTTCCCACTAACCCTAACAGTAACTTTTCTGGTTACTGTTGCACCTCTTTAGCTGGAATGGATTTACATACAGCAAGCTGGGTTCAACTTCCCAAAAAGTCTCTTTCTATTCCAAAGAGTTACATATTCAAGTTAAAAATATACGCATGGTCAGTCATTAAAATACTGACACAAATAGTTTCCAACACATAAATTTCTAGAGCACTTACCTTGTATTTAACCTGATTACATCACTCAAAACCATTTAAAAACGTCTCAATAGAATCCCTGAAGTCATCACGTTTTTCTGAACCCGTATTTACCACTGATGATAATTTCACAGTGTTCTGTGGCAGTCTATTAAAAAAGCAAAACAAATAAAGCCATTGCATACCAGCTCAAGCAGAAGGACTGGTTTGTACTCATATACATCATTTGCTTCATGGAAAGAAGAGCTAGTAATCACAAGGCTGAGATAACAGGGGATTTTTCTGCAGAAAAAGATGCCAACTCAAGAAAGAATCAAGCTACTGTATCATCTAGATTTCCAAGTAGTATGAAAAATAGTTTTTCCATGTTTAGGTCCCGAGTTTTATGCTCTCTGTCTCATGCCTGTTTAAGCAAAGAGTAGGACCTCCTTTTCCTTTAGCAGAACTGACTACAGCATGCCCTCTTTAGAGAGCTCTCATTTCCCTTTTTCGTAATCCACTACACCATCTATTTTGGGCAAAAGATAACAACTAGGCGAAAAGACACTTAAAAAAAAAATAGAAAGAAAATCAGCAAACAAAACCTTATCACAAGGACAAGCAGAAGACTCGGTCCCCTGAGGCCAGGGAGCAAAGCATTTACCCAGGTGCAGTTTCTGGTTATGATCACTATCTTTCTTACCCTCACCACAAGGACGTAGAAGCTTTGTGGCACATATTTCTCATGGGTTAGAGTATTTACGTCAGCCCTAATGCGAAGAAAACCAAGTAAAATGACGTGTCTGAGTTGGCAAAGAAGTCAGACCACGTGCTGAAAATTCAAAAGGCAGGACAGGACAGCAGATGCAGCATCAGACAAAGCAAACAGAGTGCACGTTCCTTTTCAAACTCAGACCCAAACCCTGTGAGTGATGGTGGCAGAACAGTCCTGTGCCCCCCTGTTCCCCCAAGACAGGCAAAGTGACTTTCACCAGCACTCGACATCAGTTCATCCGGCCCTAATCAACCCACACGCCCAGCATTAGGGCAGCCAGGTTGGAAACTTTGTGGTCACTAGCACAACTTGACTGGGGAGGCCCCGGGTTTTGTATCCTGGGTGCTCAGAGAGGTCACAAAAAGGAAAAGATGCTGTGGGTGTTTTCTGCTCCCTATCACCTCAACTTGCTCCATGACCAAGCTATAGGCTGTTAACAAAGCCTGAACATGGTTACTTTTTAATAGAAATGAGATTTCTATTTTCCCCAGAGCAGGACTTATATTCATAGCTTTTTTTTCCTTTTTCTCTTTTTCTTTCTTTCTTCTTTTTTTTTTTTTTTTTTTTTCTTTTGGTGCTGAATTAGTGGGATTAGTGGGATTCAAAAGAAAAGAAACAGTGCTGTCATAAAAGGAACCAAGAGACCTCATGTGTAAAGTCAGGTAAAGTTACAAACTAGTCCTGAGGGACTTTCTGAAGAAAAACAGGAGCCTCTAGATGCTCTGGTCTTTTATGGATAAAGACAAATACGCACCACATTTAAACTAATCTACTCTCTGAAGCATTTTCATGCACAAAGCATCTGTACAGATTAGACCAAATGTAGCTTTCTGGAAGTGCCAGCTCTGCTCTGTTCCTCAAAATGTTCCCAAACTAGAGCACAATACTAATAAAACTATTGGCAATTTCACTGCTACCCAAAAAGCTCTGAATAACATGAAGAAGTGACTATAACCTGAATATTCTCAGTTCTGTGCTTTTAGTGCTCGAGAAAATCTGCAAACCCTTCACCTCTTTCTCAAATAACAAGTGATGGGACCAGGGGAAATGGCCTCAAGTTGTTGGATATTAGGAAAGGTTGGATATTAGGAAATATTTCTTCACTGAAAGAGTTGTCAAACACTGGATCAGGCTGCCCAGAGAAGTGGTGGAACCACCATCCCGGGGGGGATTTAAAAGACAGACATGTAGACGTGACACAGTTTAGTGGTGGGCTTGATAGTCCTGGGTTAGAGTTGATAATTTTACAGGTCTTTTCCAATCTAAATGATTTCATTTTCCCCTCTATCTAGCAAATTCTAAGTACTAAATGTTTACACAATAAAAACTGTCTAGACTGTAAAAGCTGATTTTTAAAATTATGCAGCAATTTAGTATTATATGTCCCCTACAGGCAAAAAAAACCCCAAAAAAACCCAAACAAACAAACAAACAAAAAAACAACAACAAAAAAAAACCCAAAAACCGGGTCCATTTTCCAATGGGAAATTCACTCTTCCTTAAAATTCACTTATCCTTAAAATCCCGTACTAGTATCAGTGGTGGGCACTCATGTAGTATTCTAAATCATCCTATATAATCTAGGTTCATGAAGAAATGACATCACTAAGTATGCTTTACTTAGATTCTCAGCTGAAAAAACAGGTTTACCTGCAGTAGAAAAATAAAACTGCATGCAAACACTTAGATCACTTGCTAAAGCACAAGACTCTTTCTCCAGTTTTGCCAATATTTCAACATCATCACATGAGTAATTTGTAAGCCAAAGGTTTATTTCTCTATTCTCTGCGTAGCTTTTCAACCCCTTTTGCCTAAGAAGTGTGCTGCCAGAGTCCATCCTTATATCCATCATATTAAATAAGAGTTCACACCAGACTTTTGAGCCCCTGTGAGACTTTTTGTGTGTCAAAGATCAACGACGGAAAAAATTGAACAAAATCTACAATAAAAATAAAATTTAAAAACCAAAAGCACGGACAAAAAAACCTTAAAACCCCTCCCCTCCCAAAAAAAAAAGCTAGCCACAAACTGCATAGACTGGCTCAACAAAGTCATACACCCATAAAAAAGGTCTCTTGTGCTGCTTTTAGAGAATAATTTTCTGGTCTAAGCGACAAGTGACTGCCCACTAGAAATGGAAAAAAGTCCTTATTTAGTTTTAAGAAAACTCGACAGACGCTGAAAAAACACAATTCTTCTGAAAAAAACTTATACTATTAAGAAACAAGAAATATCAACAACTTCAATTTCAAGAACATTTCACATATTCCCTCGGAATAAGAGAATCCGCGACTCTCCGAGCGCTGGCAGCAGCAGAGCCCAGCCCCAGCCCCTTCCTGCCCTGCAGCCCCGGGGACAGCGCAGGTGCCGCAGCGGCGGCGGCTCCGCCGGCACAGGGCGCAGCTCGGGAGGCCGAGGGCAGCGGGGACCGGCCCCGCGACAGCGCTGCGGCCCCAGCCGGGACCCGAGCCCCCTCCGCCCGCAGCGAGCCCCGTCCCGCTCGGCTCCATCCCGCCCGGGCTCTGCCGGTGCTCCCCCTGCGCTGCTCACCCGCGGGGCGCCCGGAGAGCCCGCGCCGCCCGTCCGTCCGTCCGTCCGTCCGTCCGTCCGTCCACTCCGCTCCGCGCCGCTCCGCCAGGAACTCCCGGGGGCGGGGAAGGGCGCAGGTAGCACCGCCCGCCCCCGGCCGAGGGCGGGAGACCGGGCCGGCCCTGGCCCCGGTTTCTATTTCGGTTTCCCAGCAGGAGCAGGCGCTGCGCTGTCCTAACGCGGCCTCAAGCCCGGCCAGCGATCGCCTCCTGCTCCAGCGGTGGCACTGCCCGGTGGCAATGGCTTGTTCCAGGCGGTGGCATCGGTAAATCCCTTTTCTACCACCTCATGTTTCCATGCGCACCTAGAGGGCGTCTACCAGCGTCCTACGAGTTTAAACATTATCTGAATCAAACTTCAGCTGACACGCGGGTGGAATTTAGGACAACAATGTGAAGAATTCGTTAGTGGCAGTAGTATTAAAATACTTCAGGACACAGTAGTATGAGTGGGGTAATTGCTAAAATTGGGCACAACTACTTTTTATTTCTTATCCATAAGGAAGTAATTCTTGCAAAACTGTTCTGCCCACTAGCTCCTCTTCAGTCAGTTCGTTTTTAAGGAGACAAGTAGCACCTTCAACAAAACCAGCTGCCACAGCACTAGGAGCTGATGAGTTGAATCTGTCTCAAGGTGTCAAGAGACCCAAAATGGATTTTTGGTTCACTATCTGCAGTGTAATGACTATTTGCTTACTGAAGTCACTGGCAAAACCATCATTATAAAGTTTCAGGACAAACGTCCACCATAGGTTTCAGTGTTCAACTGCTTTTCTGTTATATTATCAAGATACCCTGACTCCCATGTTTAAAGGGTTTATGTTTGCTACCTCTCCTGGGGTATTCGTAGTTGTCCAAAGTATGTCACAGATGACATTCTGAAATGTGCAAGGGTTTAGACTCACTATAGGATTTTCTTTTCCTTAGCATCATAACTATGTATATGGAACTCTGTTAGCAGGCTTAACCTTTGCTCATACACGATTTCTTTTCTAGACTATACAGATATTAAATACATTGGCAAGCTTCCATAAGGAAATAGGTGTCTTCTTTGTTGAGTTTGACCTCATTCAATTGCACCACCCAGTGCATTTGTTACCAAAAAAAAAAACCAACCCACAACAACAAAAAAAAACCAAAAAAAACCCAAACCACCCCAACAAACAAACAATGAAACAAACAAACAAAACCCCCAAAAAACTGTGGAAGAAAAAGACAAGAAAGCTGATTAGATGAAGATGATTATAGAAAGAAAAAGAGAGGAAGGACTGAAGAATAAATTAGGCTATAGGAGAGGCCAGACCAAGGAGAGGGTGGAATTGGCAGCACCTTGAAAGTGGGAGGTTAAGGAGGCTGAGTAACACATCCTGAACATGCAGCAGCTCTCACGCTAGGATGCTTTGGGTATCCTCTTTCAGGAACTTGCTTGCGCTATTAGTTTTTCCGACCCCACAATTAATTTTAATGAAACCCTTTTCTATTTTTAGACCAACTTCAAAGAGGGAAAGAGGAGGAGTTCCTCTCTCCACATCAATGAATTTAGGCAGGACAAGTCTTAGGATTCCAGAGGAAATTCGCCACAGAGAGATGGAGGGAACACAAATTTGTACTCCATGGCATGCATAAGCAGGATAAAAATTGAAATGCTCTATTTTAAAAGCAATCTATTCTCTGTCTTAATGATCATCCTAGAATACAAAACCAAAATAATTAGGTCATAGCAATTACTCACAGACCCTGACTTACTGGGAGGCTGCCAAGAGTATATACAGCATTGTACTGAAGCCCTACTAACACACAAAGTGCCCTAACACCACTACAGATGTGCCCACAAGTTTTATATAAATGACTGTTTTTTAAAACCAAAGAAAATTACATTTGCTTCACTGCATACCTGGGGAACCGTGCTGCAGACCAATGATTGCTTGCTGGGTGCCCTGCAGCTCTCTGCCCCTGCCACCTCACTTCTGATCCCACATGCTGCCCTCACTCTAGTAATTCTGCCTTCACAGCCCTGGCCCAGGACCAGACAAACAGAATCACAAAATCGGTTAGGTTGGAAAAGAGCTCTGAGATCATCGAGTCCAACCTATAACCAAACACTACCATGTTGACTAGACCATAGCACTGAGTGCCACATCCAGTATTTCCTTAAATACCTCCAGGGAGGGAGACTCCACCATCTCCCCGGGCAGCCCATTACAATGTCTAATCCCCCCTTTTGTGAATAAAT